TTATACCATTTCAACCCAAAATTTCTTTTAACCCTCTTTTCCCTTTTGCACCCATTAAAAATGTTTTTGGATTGAAATGGTATAAAAAGATTTGTTGGGGCTATTTTTATGATCAAAAGTCAATAAAAGTTGGAGATAAGAGATGAGGGGGTACGGTGAAATCTTTAGGGGTTTCTTTATGCCACTTGAAAGAAAAACGGAAAGAGGGTCTACCATGAAATATTTTGAGAAATTAGGGTTCTATACGAAATTTTCTCTTTAATTTATCTTTTCTGTTGGCTCTTTGAGATTTATTTATATGAGTTTTCAAGAACTAGAAATCTTTCATATGGATTTTCAGTGAATTTAAGTAGCCAAATTAACATTTATTTTTTAACAAAATCTGTGTTTTTCGCTGCTTCATTTTGCAGTAGCAAAATCAGTCTAAAATGTGATAAAACAATCACAATGTTGTGATTATTTCTGCTGTAAATTATTCCCAATATAAGTTTCTATGTTTATTAAAGTTATCGGATTAATTCTAATTCATTTTAACATCAAATTATATGGGAACCTAGATTGAATCGGCGGCTGCTTTGTAGAAAGAGAACTAACAACTTTTTTCTCAATCTTTGTAATTGAAGAACCCTAAAATTTTCTCTTATTTCTATGTTTTGTTTTCTGTTTTCTGTTTGTTGGTTGTTTCTAAACTCATTATCTATCACTAGGTATTTATATTCTCTTATCTCATTTTAGCCCCTTCCTCTCGATAGTAATTTACTTACTCTCTCTCTCATTTCATGGTTATGTTTTTATTATGTTTCTGGTGTTTATCTGTCCTTTGTTTTTAGGGTGCGATTTGTATAAGGCCGAGCCTCTAAACAATCAAATTAAAGCGCACCTTCAAATAGTGTCGAGAAATGTGGTTTTTGAGGTGCGCCTTAATTTGATTGTTTAGAGCCTCGCACTTATATAAACTTTTTCCTTGTTTTTATTATGTTTATGGTGTTTCTCTGTCCTTTGTCAAATTATTGTTCCATGTTATCTCTTTCTTTTCTAATTTGTCGCCATTGCATTGAATATTTCCCCTACTTTATGTTTTTCATCTCCTTTGTAAGTTTGGATTTCAATTTTCTTGTAATATCACTTCTCATCTTGAAATACTATTAGAAAGTGGAAGATCATTGATATTCTTATGGATTTTTGTTGTTATTGTGCTTTCTTGAAACTGTTGGGTCTCTTCGGCTGTTTGTTTTATCTCTCTCTATTTTTGTTTGTTGCTTTGCATAGGACATAGGTATTGGGTACAATCGAATATTGTATTAATTGTGAAATTGCTTTTTAGTATTCTTACACAAAAAGGACTGTCAACTTATGATTACCCTAATTTTCAATTGCAATAGTGAGATCAGTTGTAGAACCCCCAATTTATCTCTTCCAGTTATGTTAGAAATGACATATATTTGAGAGGGTGTATGGATATCTAATAAAGAGCTTCAGATCACTTTACCCAGTGTTCAATCGCAAGATTGAGATCAATTATGGAACCTTATTTACTAGTAAATTGGTAAATTAGCAAGAAAATCTTATTGAAAATATGCATTGCACGCATCAGTCCAATGAAATATATAATGAATTGTTAAGACAAGTAGTTTTTAGCTTTTCCAGTGCCAAACTGGTGAAAATACCAGCAGTTTATCAAACAGGGTTCTTAGCCTTTAGGCTACCAATTTTTACCTGCCTTCCAGAATCCAAGAAAGTTAGCAGCACGGATTTTCTTAGGGAAACTGCAGTGAAACTTATCAAACACCAACGTTCCCCAATTTACGTTGTTAATTACTGTGATAGATTCGTACCATTCAAGTTTATGGATGGTGTAGAACCATGCAGCACTAGGGTTGCAGCCCTAAATATTACAAAAAAGTATTTACAAAAGGGTACAGTTTGTTTATAAGGCTGAGGACCTAAACAATCAAAGTAAGTAAGGCGCACCTTCAAATTGTGTCGAAAGATGTTTTAGTATTGGAAATCTTTGTGATGCTCTGAAAATTTATTTTCATCTCTAATTATAAAATTTAAAGCTTCAAAAACAATGTAGATCAAGCAGATCTATGAATGCTTGAAAATCTTGAAACGATGCCTTGATGGTCCAGAATATGCATTACAAGATGCACTATTTCCAAAACTTGAAATCTATTTTTTTCTCATGTTCATATATCTTGAGGTCAAGATGATTGATTTGAGGATTTTTGGGCATAGAAACAACCTCTTCTAGTGAATTTTTGATGTGTGCCAGAACTTGATTGTTTAGAGCCTCACCCTTATATAAATTCTTTCCTTTACAAAAAATTTCCCAAAACACAATGAAATTTAAAGGGACCTTGTGGTGTGAACCCTAAACTCTAAAGGGTGCATTTGGCAATTGGCATTTTCTACTTCTTGTGGAAGTGGTTCGCATGTAAACCTCCTCCATGGCCCTGCCCTTTGCTTTCTCTTCTCTCCCGCCTCAACTTCTCCCCTCGTTTCAGAGTTCAGACCCTAACCTCACTCCATCTATTCTCTCCATTCTCTCTTTTCTCTCCCTTGCTCCAAACCCTAATACTATTCTCTCTCTCTTATTCCTCGCTCTGTTGCTCTGTTTTTTGTTTCTTTGAGAGCATTAGAAATCTTCACCCAAGCATGAAGTTGCAGGAGGCGAGCGAGCATCTGTGAAATTGATATCAGGTGAGGTTTGCTCTCTGAGATGGTGTATGTCAGTTTTCTCTCTCTGAAACTTGTTTTCTCTCTCTTGCTGAAACCCCATGCGTACCGAATCGCTATAACACCTCCCACTGCCGGTCGTCACTTTCTCTCTGTGGCTCACCCTTTAACCTGTTATGGTGCTGGCTGCGTTTGAGCCAATTTATCCATGGGAGATGCTCTCTCTCTCTCTCTGAAACTTGGTTCCTCTCTTGCTGGACCCCATCATAGAACCCTACTCAATCGCTCTCGCTAACACTCCTCGCTTTGTCTCTCTAGACTTCCTCTAATATGTTTTGAAGAAGTGAGGGTAGAGAGATAGAGTCCATAATGAAATTGGACCAAGTATGCGATCAGCTTCTAGTAATGGTTGGATGTTATTTCACTTCTATACTGGGTTGTTTGCATTAAGCATGTTACCGGTGACTTTTACATCTTGTAAGGATGGCCATCCTATGGGTTTGTGACATGAGTAAATATGAAATTGGTGTATTGTGCTATCAAATACATGATAGTGCTTCCCTTTACAGTTTGTGGGAAAAGTTTTGGTCCTTCTATAGTCAGTTTTTTAACAGTGAGTTTCGGAAAGGTTCCCAAATTTTTCCTTATTCCTTCAAAAAAGTCGAATATCACCCATGGCCTCTGGATTTGTTTGAGTGTGAATAATGGGTTATGCACTCTGATTATTAGACCCAAACATTGTGCAATTTAAAAGCGAATGAGTTCTAAGGGAGCTCCACTATTTTTAGTATTATTGCTATTATTTGCATTTGGAGTTTGTTACATGTTCAAATTGAATGATAAATGATTTAAATTTTGGTGCGTGACATTTGAAGGATAGAGAGAGTTTTTCTATTTCTTTTTTCTTATCCTCTCTCTCTCTCTCTCTCTCTATC